TCAAAACCAAAAAGGGTAAAAGTCCACCAATTTTGAAAGTTTTGCGGGTACAAGATCATCACGGTCATGTTCCCCAAGAGCACAGTGCGGGAAAAGTAGAACACTTCCATAAGACCATCCAGGGAGGTAAACAAGGGAACCATTGGGACTTGGATCTTGCCAGGTCCAAGCGAAAAGAACATCGAGCTGCTGAAGATGTGCCAAGGTCGGGTCCCACAGAAACGAGGGATCAGGTAGCAGTTCGAGGGATGGAATTTTTGAGGAGTGTGGTTAAGATAGGTAAAATACAACTTCAGGGTAAACGCTCAAAAGGGATAGCTCCGCAACCAATGGGAACTCAAGGCGATCAGAAGGAAAAAGAAGCCCGGATCCTATTGCAAGTAGGAACCGAAAAAGAAAAAGAAAGAAAAGAACTAAAAAAGGATAGATCGCCGGGAAAAGTACATCGGTGGCTGGAGAAAAAGATCATCAAGACCCAGGGAAAAGATCATTAGCTGCCGGTGGAAAAGATCAGTACAGGGAAAAGATCATCAGCCGCTAGACCCAAAGAACACCGTTGGGCGCTCTTCGGGTGCGGCGCTGGTGAGAGAGGGAGTTCAAAAACCTATAAAGTTAGGACTGTAGTTTTTCAATTTTTGGAGTCAACCCGAAGTGGAACTCCACGCGACTAATAGATAAAAGGAGAATCAACACCCGTTTGGGATCATGGCTCACGAGGGTCTTCGCCCTTCTGGCTTGGGGAAGGGCGAGTTCCCAGTGGAAACGTGGCCACCCTGAACTTGTTGTTTTGGTGTTGAGGAACCTGGATTCCTGCGAGCAGGAAGGGGGGAGTGCGGTTAGGAAAACAGCACAGAGTACCACTGCACCCCCACTAGGACCTTATTAAAAATTTTCACAGTCGTTGAGGCGACTGTTACAACTATGGCTCAAGCCATTCAATTGGCTCAAGGGCCAATCAAACCAACTAGCTCAATACCGAGCCCAACTTGGAGTGAAAAGGTGCAGCGGCATCTGCCTCTTAGTGGGAACCTCCGGGAAGGGACTCGGTTGTAGTCTAACTTTAGATTAATTTCTATTAATTTATATTGATTTATATTAATTTGTATTATATAACATTAAATCAATTAGGCTATGTTATATTAAATTATATTATATTATATTATATTAAATTATATTGTGTTATATTTTATTAAATTATATTAAAATATTTTATGTTGTATTAAATTATATTAAATTATATTATTTTATATAATATTAAAAGAGAATTTATTTTAAGCTTCAAATGTCCCAACCTTAAATTAAAATCCTGATATATTAAAAAAAAAACAGTTGTCTGCAAAGCCGGCTGCAATCTAAAAAAACATTTAATTCAATATCAATATTAAATCAATCCACAAAAAATGTTTTAAATTAATCCAAACCCAAAATTTACGTCGTCAATATTTAATTCTTCGAGTTGGAACTTATGGACATGTGTTTATCCCAACAATTTACAATTGTTCTGACAATATTACTTGTGCCTTGCAAACTAAACCCCAACGTCCTGCAAAGCCATCAGCATGACTAGCTCAAGAATCTAATCCAGTAGGCTGATACTTCCAGGCAGTTCCGAGCCAAGTCTGTTCTGCAACAAAAGCAATACAAGCAAAAACCCTGCGACCTTTTTCGCGTCTTTGCGAATAAATACGATCAAGGTGCACGCCTTGCTACACAAAACGAATGGCCAATACCTCAGCTCTTTGGAAGCATCTCAAGCCATTACTTCTACAATCTTCTTCTTTGGATTTCTTTTGAAGACTGAGGTCCAATGCTGTGTGATACACTTAGCTCAATCCGGAAAGAACCCCAAGTTTCTTGGCCAAATGTACAATCGATTCTATTCGAGCGCCTGGTCTGAATATCTTGACGCATCCGAAAAGCCATATGGAGGAGCACAGGCTGGATCGAAACCAATGCTTTTCCAAGCCTTTGCAAATGGCGACAAAAAGCTGAACCTTGCAGCGCTGCTATCAGGGAGCGCGGCACACAGCAAGCCACTGCACCATTATCACCCTGAGTGAAGAGCGCAAAGAACTTCAAAATAATTCAGAACAGTACCTATCTTGTGCTTGCCTTTGGACTAGACACACGACAATCCAGAATTTGCTGCTCTTCTACTGAGCAAGCAAGCTTACTTCGCGGGAATCTGCTTTATTTTCCGCCCCGGGGGTTTCTCAAGTTTAATCATATATTATAGATGGTTGGAACCATCTTTGCATAGAGGAAAACACATAGCGGGTATTAAAGAGAAAATGAAGTATGGTGAAGGGTCAGAAGGAACCACCAAGAGGTATGATATAATATGACCAAGAGTGATTAATCTTAATCAAGTATACCAAAATATTATTAAGCACGATGACGTATGATCATCATATATGATGAACCCGTATGAAATAAAGAAAAGTATGTTGCGACCCAAATGAAATTCCATGGCCCATTGACACATACAGCGGACAGTGGCAGGTCTAGAAGTATAAAAAACAAGACTAAATATGATGACGGGTTGGTTGACACGAGACCAAAACAGTCCCACACATCATGAGGGATGAAGAAATATGTCAGAATATGAATTAATGCCGACACAATTGCAGGTATAAGTATGATGAAGGGCGCGTGGACAGGACGCCAAAGCAGTGCCATGAATAATGAAAAACAATTATATAAATATCTTGGAATATAAGCTCAGGCCAACACAGCGGCAGGTTAAACGAGGTGGAATAAAGCCTCATGAAGTAGGATGAATGAAGGGCGAGGAGTGACGCACCGTCAAAACAGCGGAACGTATGATGAAAGTACAGTAATATGAAGAATGGTAAAGCGCGATGATGAGTGGGCATACAAATCGAGATATGCTGACATGGAAACCTTTGGTGGCAACGGTGACAGGGATCACTCAGGACAGGCAAAAAAGTTTCGACCACAACTGTACGATGTTGCCGCAGCTGAAGCTGGAAAACTGCCCGTGCGCTCATGTGTGCAGGTCACTGCTTCTTCCTCATGTTGGCGGACTTCTGATCAAATCTCCTGGCAAGAGCGAACGGCGAAGGTAAATCGTCCTTTAACGTGGGCATAAACTGCCGAGGGAAGAACACGCATTTGAAGCCTCTGCGCTATTGATCTTACTTGCTGGTTGGTGTCTCTTGGAGGGTCTCAACCCATTCGCAGAGCTAAAACCATTACCCTGTCGAGGTATCCGCCTCAAAGTTTCTTGACTTCGTTGCTGCGCTTTCCTAAGTTGAGTGCAGCCACAAGGTGCGCTTGACCCAACATAACTTCTTGCACTGTTTTGGACCAAACTTGCGACTCCTTTCCATGTTATACTATTCTCAGGTCAAATGTTGACTAGACAGACTTTTTTGTACCATTTTACCAAGTGTCTCCACTACAGGCTGTGCGTTGCGCATCGCCTGCGGACAAAGCAGGTGTCAGAGGCCCCTGAAATCAGAATTAGAGAACTCAGAATCCGGACGCGCATTCAATCCCAAAAGTACCCCTGCAAATTCATAGCTGTTCAAACATTAAATTCGGGTTGAACTAAATTTGTTCATAGGGAGGATTGAAGCGCGGCTGCTGCAATTGCACATCAATGTCGAAGATTTCTCTGGAACCACACAAAAAACTTTTTCTAAATTGGAAATAGTCGGAGACCAAGCAAAATGTGGTTGTTCCTGACCTTCTTTCTTGCCAAGTGTGAGAATGGTAGAATCTGGCCTGGCCTGTTGCTGGTTTTTGATCTTTGTATGGATCTGTAATACTCCGGTGAATCATGGTAGACTGACCTTTGTGTCGGCTTGAGATTGAGCTTTGAGTTGGCTTGATTGGCTGTATGTTGGCAAACGATTTTGTATGTAGTAACTTAGTAGCATCCGACGGCGTGTTAGTTGTCTGAAATGGCATTCATTGTCGTGCCATGTCATATCATGGGATGCCAGCAGCAATCGCCATGAATCGCATGTATGAATTCATGTGTCTAATAAAGTGTACGAGAAACATCAAGAAACAACTGAAATGAGATGCGTGTGCAATTTTGTGAATTCCGTCAATGGCACGGTTTGTACTTGCTTGCATCTGCATGCCCTTGAACATACTGGTGAGCTAGCAGATCATGAGATGTCATTTTGGTAGCTCGTCGTGTTTCTTCGTTCGCACGGACATGTCACCACCTGCTATGGTGTGAAATGGTATGTGAGTGTGGGGCACTGTACGCGTCAGCAAGTTGTCAAGTGCCAGGGTGTGAATTGTGTGAAGCTGTTTCGCTGATGTCATTGTTTGTGACTGCTTCTTGGAGCGTCATGCGTTCATACACATCGGCATCTAATCAATCTACAATAAGGTGAAATGCTATGCACTGGTGTACCATGCTGATCACTCACTTGCCACCACATGCACAGCATGCGATGGTCTGCGACGAAGCCTCATCTCAGCCATGAGGGCGTCATTGAAACCGATGGCACGCATGCGATGGTATGTCTATGCAATGGTATGTATATGACTATACGATTAAAATTGTAAAATAATGGCAATCGCGCACCGGTGCAGGAGTTCATACAGTTCTACAATCATCCGGCATGTGATTGAGCGCGTGCATTCTGCGCATCGATATGTCATCGTATGCGATGTTGCGGAGTGCGTGATTGGGTCTTTTGTTGAACGCATCAAATTGCCATGTGCTGCAACGGTGTAAAATCATAACGGTTTGCACGTTTTTGAAAAATGAAATGTCACGATCATACGCAAAGGCGCGTGACATGTCATCTCGAGCACCCGTGTGTGATCGTGTGCAATAGTCATGGTCATAGTGTGTATTGGTATGCATTGGAACGTCACCATTCTTCATGATTGGCATGTTCGCATGGGCAACATAATGATTTTTGACGCAAAGGTGACATCGCATACCATCGTGTGCAATGTTTTTATTGTCACGGTGGTGCGAAACAGTATGTACGTTTCATGATGCGTCATCACGTGGTTTGTCCTCTCATCATGGCAGACATCTGTGCATCACCACATCTATGCAAGCGTCGGCATTTAGATATTGCAATTGTATTGTCAAGAGTCATGACGCGTAACTCTGTCAGGCTGTATGTTGTCGCATGCATTGGCATGTCATCACTATGGCAGTCAAGCATTTGAGTAGAAGGATTTGCCGGGCCATCCACAGACCTACATACGCTAGTTGGCGAACAACGGGCCTCAGTCAAGGCCTTTTGCGCCATGGTAGAGGACTGCTGTGCAAAGCGGCAGAATGCAGGAGAGTTCAACAACGCCTCCTGAAAGTGTCGCAGATTGTCGCAGTCAAGGTCAGATTGTGGGCCAATTTGATTCATGATGATTCATGTGCAATCAAGTGGGTGACCGATGGTCACCGATGGTCGCCGAAAGGCTAAGGATGCTTGTAGGATCTTCTTGGTTTTCTGTGAACCTGACAGCATGAGGATGCCACGTAGTGACACCTATTCAACAAGGCAAAGGAGTCCTCAGCATTGATAGCCTATCAGACTATGGTAGCCTTGATCTTGATCCGAATTCTTAATGTACGCGTCATCCCCCTCCTCTGGCCTTGGTGAGCTTGGCTATCTGTCCGCCCAGCATCGCAGCAAATATCTGTGGTGGACTGGCCGAAGCACCCAAGGCTTTGGAACACTTGGGTTGAACAAGCGCACCATAGGGCACACGTGGTTGGTAAATCCATTCTTAGCGCGTAGCATCTTGAAAGGAACTGGGAACCCCAACATGCACCGCACCCAAGGAGATAGAATGTGAAGCTCTCAAGAAACTTGAGGCCCAACGGGTTGGTGAACGAAAACTAAAATTCCTATTCGCCTGGAAAACATGATGGGATTTTGATCGGATTTTGATATGCTGAATACAGATTGCATAGAGACCCGGCAGGATTTGAGCCCGTGAGCATCTGGCGCTTCCAAATGCCCCGGGAGCTTTGGGGGTGGTTCAAGTGAAAAATCCCTGTGTTGGACTCAGACCTGCCCCTTGCTGAGACAAGAGCAACTCCAGCTAGCTACCGCTAGTCTTCGTGACACCAGCCTATACACAAATCTACATCATGCCACCTCTCTTTTGCTGCGCCTCGGCAGCAAGGTTTAAGAGTGTTTGCGCCTTCTGTACAATGTCAGTCAGAACTCAGCAAACCAAAGTCTTTCCAAACAACATGACCCACAAACAAGATGAAACCCACGAACCCGAATGCTCACACGTATGTTAACGGCACAGATGTCAAAACACATGGTTATGCAGTCACGCACAATACCTTTCTGCAATAGTTTATTTGAACAGTCTTGTACATGTTTCCCTTGTTACCAGTCTGCAGTGTGGAGTGGAAAGTGTAGAGCGTGGAGTGTGGAGTGTGAAGTAAGGAGTGTGGAGTGGAAAGTGTGGAGTGGGGAGTGTAGAGTGTGTAAAGTGTAGAATGCGGAGTGTAAAGTGTAGAGTGTGGAGTATGGAGTGTAAAGTGTAGAGTGTGGAGTGTAGGGTGTGAAGTGTGGAGTGTAGAGTGTGGAGTGAGGAGTGTAAAGTGCAAAGTGTGGAGTGTGGAGTGTCGAGTGTAAAGTGAGGAGTGTAAAGTGTGGAGTGAGAAGTGGAAAGTGTAGAGTGTGGTGTGTAGAGTGTCGAGTATGGAGTGTAAAGTGTGGAGTGTGGAGTGTGGAGTGTGGAGTGTAAAGTGTAGAGTGTGGAGTGTAGCGTGTGGTGTGTGGAGTGTAAAGTGTGGAGTGTAGAGTGTGGAGTGTGGAGTGTCAAGTGTAGAGTGTGGTGTGTAGAGTGTGGAGTGTGGAGTGTAAAGTGTGGAGTGTAGAGTGTGGAGTGTAAAGCGTAGAGTGTGGCGTGTGGAGTGTAAAATGTGGAGTGAGGAGTGTAAAGTGGAAAGCGTGGAGTGTAAAGTGTAAAGTGTGGAGTGTAGAGTGTATAGTGTAGAGTGTAAAGTGTAGAGTGTGGGGTGTGGAGTGTAAAGTGTGGAGTGTAAAGTGTAGAGTGTGAAGTGTGGAGTGTAAAGTGTGGAGTGTAAAGCGTGGAGTGAGGAGTGTAAAGTGTGGAGTGGAAAGTGTGAAGTGTGAAGTGCGGAGTGTAAAGTAAGGAGTGTGGAGTGTAAAGTGTGGAGTGTGGAGTGAGGAGTGTAAAGTGTGGAGTGTGGAGTGTAAAGTGTGGAGTGTAAAGTGTGGAGTGTGGAGTGTAAAGTGTGGAGTGTAAAGTGTGGAGTGTGGAGTGTAAAGTGTAGAGTGTGGAGTGTGGAGTGGAAAGTGCAAAGTGTGGAGTGAGGAGTGTGGAGTATAAAGTGTGGAGTGTAAAGTGTGGAAAGAGAAGTGTGGAGTGTAAAGTGTGGAGTGTAAAGTGTGGAGTGTAAAGTGTGGAGTGTAAAGTGTGGAGTGTGGAGTGTGGAGCGTAAAGTGTGGAGTGTGGAGTCAGGACTGGAAAGTGTAGAGTGTGGAGTGTGGAGTGTAAAGTGAGGAGTGTAAAGTGTGGAGCGAGGAGTGTAAAGTATAAAGTGCGGAGTCTGGAGTGCACAGTAAAGTGTGGAGTGTGGAGTGCATAGTGTGGAGTGGAAAGTGTAGAGTGTGGAGTGTGGCGGGTAGAGTGGGAAGTGTGGAGTGTAGAGTGTGGAGTGCGGAGTGTAAAGTGTAAAGTGTGGAGTGTGGAGTGTAAAGTGTAGAGTGTGGAGTGTGGAGTGGAAAGTGCAAAGTGTGGAGTGAGGAGTGTGGAGTGTAAAGTGAGGAGTGTAAAGTGTGGAGTGTAAGGTGAGGAGCGTAAAGTTTGGAGTGAGGAGTGGAAAGTGTAGAGTGTAAAGTGTAGAGTGTGGAGTGTAGAGTGTAAAGTGACGAGTGTAAAGTGTGGAGTGAGGGTGTAAAGTGTGGAGTGTGGAGTGTAAAGTGTGGAGTGTGGAGTGTGAAGTGGAAAGTGTGGAGTGTGAAGTGTGGAGTGAAAAGTAAGGAGTGTGTAGTGTAAAGTGTGGAGTGTGGAGTGTGGAGTGTAAAGTGTAGAGTGTGGAGTGTGGAGTGTAAAGTGTAGAGTGTGGAGTGAGGAGTGGAAAGTGTAGTGTGTAGTGTAAAGTGTGGAGTGTGGAGTGTAAAGTCTCAGGTGGGGATTTAGGAGTGTAAAGTGCAAAGTGTAATGTGCGGAGTGTAAAGTGTAGAGTGTGGAGTCTAAAGTGTAAATTGTGGAGTGTGGAGTGTAAAGTGTAGAGTGTGGAGTGCGGAGCTTTCCCCATAGACACGGTGACGCCACAGGGAAACCAGAGACTCGAGACAAAACACGTGGGCGCAGAAAAACCAGCATTTCGTACGAGTCTTCCTGCAATTTTGACATTTTCGACACATCATCAAACAGGTTGGAATATCACAAAGTGCCACGCCTGCCACGCCAAACGACATGACAACCTGCTTGCAAACCTTCGATAAGGAGATGTTTTGCAGCTTCCCCCATAGACACGGCGAGCCCACAGGAAAACCAGAGACTCGAGACGAGACACGTGGGCGCAGCAACACGAGCATTTCGTGCGAAACTTCCTCCAATTTTGACACTTTCGACACGTTATCAAACAAGTTGGAATGCCACAAAGCGCCACGCCTGCCACGCAAAACGACGTGGCAACCTGCTTGGAAACCTCCAAAAGGAGAGGTTTTGCAGCTTCCCCCATAGACTCGAGACGAGACCAACATTTCGCGCGGGACTTCCGCAAATTTTCACAGGGTCGGAAACATGCGACAAGAAGAGGTTTTGCAGCTTCCCCCATAGACACGGCGAAGCCACAGGAAAACCAGAGACTCCAGACGAGACACGTGGGAGCACCAAAACAAGGATTTCGTGCGAGACTTCCTCCAATTTTCACACTTTGTAGCTTCAAAATCGACGTTTTCCTACGAGTTTTCCTTAGAACCTGAAAATTTGCTACCTCAAAATCGATGTTTCGTGCGAGGCTTCCGTCAATTTTCAGCACATCGCACAAAATGCCACGCCTGCCACGGAATTTGCACCTTGTCGCCACTTGACGCAGCCCTGCCAATGCGATTTACAAAAAACACGCAACACGACACGTCTAAAGTGCTGCGCCTGCCACGAAAAATGACGATGGACACGTCCAAAGTGCTGCGCCTGCCACGAAAAATGCAACACATCTTCTGAAAACGTCGCAAAAGTATTGCGCCTGCCACACAAAACGACTTTCGACACGTTACAAACACGTCTGAATGTCACGAAGCGCAACGCCTGCCACGCGAAACGAAGCAACGAGACGTTTGAAACCTACAAAAAGCACCCCTCCTGCAGAACTTACCATAGGCACGGCCATATAGCAATCGCGCGGACGGTTGCGGACGGTTGCGAACGGTTGCGGACGGTTGCGACCGTGAACGCAACGTCAAGCGAACACACCCTCAACCCCCAGACCCCCAGAGTGAAACGGGAACCCTTGCTACGCATTCGGGAAAAATCCCATCGCCCATCCCATCATTCTGGTTGGTTGATAGGAATCCTACTGTGGTTTAAAAAAGGCCACCCAAAAACCAGGTCATATAACCTCCTACAATGATCAATGTACAGCCGTGTTTTTACTGGCTCACATGAAGTGTCCTCCACACTGGGCCGGAGAATGCGCTCAAGAAAACTCCAAGTCGATCCTCTGACCCAAGAACTTCTGAAAGACTTTGGCTGCACTGCAATCCTTCGTGCTGCACGTGAGCGCCTTCTCCAAAACCGTTCTTGTGCGGAATAAAAACAAAATGCCCAGAAGTAATGCTTCACAAAGTTCAAAAAAAGGATGAATAATTTCATGGCGAACTCTGGAAAGGCTTCTCGGGGACCAAATTTGGAGAAGATGCCAGATCCATCGCTTGCCCCAGCACTGGGCATCCAAAAATCGGTGCACCACTAAATACACCAGACATTCCAAAAAGGAAAAAGCACATGCGACAGCCATACCAGCTGAACCACTCGACAGTTTCCGAACCCTGAGCAAGTATGCGCAGCAAGTATGCGGTTGGGAGTTTGTTGTCTTGGCATAAGACGTGCGCAATCTGATCAGCTGTAACGCGGTGCGTCAACACGTTTGAGAAGCTCTAAGATCATGTTGCAGTGGCTCACAGGAGATATTGCCAAGTATGAAGTCTTCACAGTCTTCCCGTTCATTTGTCCTTCTAACAAGTTCACGTGGAACGGCGCGCTCTGATCCTTTGCCTGCAATATGCCTGCCCCTCAGATAGGAAGTCCCTCTCTCACATGCCGGGATCCTACAGGCATCAAGGGATGATCCAAGCCACTACTTGATTGACTTCTTTCATCTTTGATGGCAAAGACCAAAGGGGACCAACAAGGCAACGCCTTTTGGCCTACAGTGTAGGCGTTCCCAAAAAGGCGCTCCGTTCCCGAACCATATCAAAACCATATCAAAATCACATCCAAAACATTCCAAAACCATATCCAAACCAAAACCCAAACCATATCAAAAACAGAACAGAACCATATCGAATCATAACCCCAAATTCAAAGCGTATCAAATTCATATCCTGAAGCCGTATCAAAAACCATGTTAAAATCGTTAAAAAAATCCTGAATTTGGCATCCTAGAGGGATTCCGGAGTTATAAGCCTACACACCACCTCACTATGGCATCTATGGCGAGCTTGAGGCGGCCTGCCAAGAACTCATTAGATGATTAAGGGACACGGCCTACAATATGCTATGGTGTGATACGATATGATATGATATGATATGATCGAAGGAAGTTTAGAAGTCAAACTTCCGACAATATGGACAGATGAAAAGCAGAGCAGGGCAGAGGCAGAGAGAAGAGAAAGATTAGAAGAGAGAAGATTAGAGAAGAGAAAGAGTCAGAAGAAAGAAGATGCAGATTCGCGAAAAGGTAGGAAAGTCGCGAAACACTGTGTTTTTCCAGTGATTTGTGGCTCCGGAGGGTCGAAAAGTAGCTTGCTAAAGCGGCGGGTGCGGAGCCAGCTGGCCAGATGAGAGATGAAAAATTGCACGCCGTTGTGGCGCGAAGCACATTACGAAGTCAAAATGTACAAAGCACACCATTCTCGGACCACTTTTGGACGCCGTCGTGGCGCGAAGCACATTTCCAAGTCAAAATGTACAAAGCACACCACGTTCGGACCATTTTTGGAAGTTGAGATGTCGAAAAAGTGCACGCCGTTGTGTCGCGAAGCACATTTCGAAGTGAAAATGTACAAAGCACCACATGTTCGCGCCACTTTTGGAGGTTCAGATGTCGTTCCGCGTGCCAGGTGCAAGGGATTGTCGATCTTGTCAAAAGTGAACAAAACGTGAGGGTTTTGTGGCATTGTCAACTACAACCACCACTACACCATACTACACTCCCATACACTACACTACAACTACAACTACACCTTCACTACATTCTACACTACACTCCACTACACCCACTGCACTCCACTACACTACACTCAATTACACTCAATTACTCTCAATTACACTCCACTACATTACACTACACTACACTCCACTCCACGACACTACATTACACTACACTCCACAACACTACCACTACAACTACATTACACTACACTACACTCCACCACACGCCACTACACTAAATTACACGACACTACACTACATTATACTACACTGCACTCCACTACACTACACTACCTTCCACTACACTTCACTATATTATACTACACTACACTCAACTACACTACAACTACAACTACACTACACTGCACTCCACTACACTCCACTACACTAAATTACACTACACTACACTGCATTACACTCCACTACACTACACTACATTACACTACACTACACTACCTTCCACTACACTTCACTACATTACACTACACTACACTCCACTACACTACACTACACTGCACTCCACTACACTACACTACCTTCCACTACACTTCACTACATTACACTACACTACACTCAACTACACTACAACTACAACTACAACTACAACTACACTCTACTACAATCCACTACACTAAACTACACTACACTACATTACACTACACTACATTTCACTACACTCCACTACGCAACAGTACATTACACTACACTACATTTCACTACACTCCACTACGCTACACTACATTACACTACACAACATTACACTGAATGACACTGCACCACAGATAGACAGGTAGGCAGATAGACAGATAGATAGATAGACAGATAGACAGGTAGACAGCTAGACAGATAGACAGATGAAAGAGAGAGAGAGAGAGATAGAGAGAGAGAGAGATAGATAGATACATAGATAGATAGATAGATACATAGATAGATAGATAGATAGGTAGGTAGGTAGGTAGGTAGGTAGATAGATAGTCAGAGAAAGAGAGAGAAAGAGAGGAGACCTCAACCACCTTTCGGTCCATCAGTGGCTTCGCCCTGCCATCCCTGATTCACAACAACCAACCTCTCCTATAGGTTTCCTATTTTTGAAACTTCCGCCACCGCCTTGTGCGGTACTACTGGTTTGGAGAATACCTTGGGTACTTCTTAGAATATTCCGCAATCCACTTACCATGTTAGGCCTCTGGTATCAAAACCGGTGCTAAAGAAGAAGTTCGTCGCGCATGTTTTTCACTCCCTCAAGCCCTGGGCCCTCAGTCCTCAAGCGCTGCACTGGGAGGCCGTCCTGCAGCTATGTTGAAATGACGCTTGGCAAGACCGCAATTCTCATCCTTGGACAGCGCCAGGAAATACACCTGCCAGGCTCATAAATTCAACTGATGGAATTCATTGAACTTGCGGGTAGCTCGAGATGTGAAACGTAAAATGCTGTTGGCAGCACGCGTCATCGAGTTGAGGAGTAATGCGCACTGAATGCGGTGCACGTCCGCTGGTATCTTTTCCACTTCTCCAAAACGGAAGCTGGTGTTGCAAGATATGAGCTTGAAGTCTTGTGCACACGCGCGTCTCTAGAAAGGTAGGTGGCCCAAGCGTTTGCGCAGCTTCCTGGTCCATGCTCAGAAAATTGCAAGTTCCCCTTTGCTTCCTGAGAAATTATAGTAGTCCGCCATTCCCACCAACATGTCGCACCTGCTCGGTCAGCTCTGGGTCGTCGAAAATCCCATCCATCTCCTGCAAGGCCCCAGCTTCACACGTTTTGATTGGAAACTCTGAAACTCCTGAACCAAAACCCTGAACCAAACTCGACACCACGCAGGGTGCCTGTGCTGTCTTCAAGCGTCGCACGCGGCCACGGCCTGAACAAATGAAGCTTGCTCCGCGGGGAAAGCCGCATGTGCCGCATGTTCGTCAAAAGGCAACAGAACAAACATGAAGAAACAAAAGGATGCTGACACTGGTACCGAGTGGTCACAATGTAGCACTCAACAGAGCACTGTGCAAATCGTTTCCTCTGCAAGCAATGAGTCTACTGATAGAAATCAGTCCGGCTGACAGTGTTTCGAGCTGCACCGCGCTGCATGCCTTGCCTTTGCCAGTAGTTGCATCATTGTGCTCAAACACCTCCATATTCCTCAGTACTTACTGACGAAAACTGGCACACTTGATTGTGTTCACTTACATGAAGGCCTATGATCACCTGAGCTGCAACAGTGCAAAGAAAGCGGACAGTAGCCGAAACCTATGTTCCAAAGGTCGGGCTTCGGGCTTTGTGAAGCGATTTCATTTTATGGTTCATAGTTATGTGAAAATCATTGCAATTGTATCAGCTTGTCAGCCTGTCAGCCCCACTCTCTTCGAAGTATCGAACCCAAATTTGGCTTCTCAGTTGACAAATTCCAGGTCACGTTGGCCTGATCCCCTGGCTTCCCTGAACCAGGTCCTGCTCATTATATGGCTTATTCAGCTATGTGGTCTTGCACAAGGCAAAAGAACCGACCTGATATAGCCTAGGCCATCTACACCAAAGCATGCTCTGCGCACAACTTGGTCACCTTAGATGACTGGGGTTGGTTTCTCTCAAGATGATGAAAGATGATGAAAGCATCAAAGGCCGACGCTTGTTCGTCGGGTGAGCTAAAATGCGGAAGTCTTTTTCCGGATGCAGCTTGACCCGATCCAAGCTGAAGAAACCAAGTGCTACAAGCTCCAAGGCGGTAGTCAATAATCCGGAAGCAAGTTCAGACCAAGAGATTTAGGTTTGGCATCAAGCAAACAGTGTCACAACTACTTTCGGTCAGCTGAATATTCCTGAATCTAGAATGTGTAGAAGCCCTCTCTGAGGCTGAACTCGTGCACAGGTGCCGCATCCCACTAAGGGAGTGAAAGGTTTGAAAGAATCTCAGCAGAAGCAATCCCGGCTTTCATAGAACAGCCGGGTGTGCCAAAGTGCCTTCACAGTAGCGTCTTGGCTGTCCTTGTGTGCATAGGGCCGGAGCAACATAGGGTGACGAGGTTGGAAAATGCAAGGGCGGGCAACTGCGCTATGGCCCCATGGTCCTCCTTATCAATCTTAGCTCTATTAGAGTCTCTCTTTGCCAACGCTTTGAATTGTCTGAAGAATAGAGTGCTGCCCCCCGTGAATCAGGCAAGGTTCAGCGAATCGAAGACGTCTGCTCAGAAACTGCGTGTTTAAGAATGTCTGCTTGCCAAACTATCAAAATGCTGATGTGTTTGGAGGGCTCGAGTTTCGGTGGCAGAACAAGCAGCAGCTGCATGGAATACCAAAAGGCACTTTGATCTGATAGGCAACTGTGGCAGCGTGATGTCTTTGATCTAAATAAAAATAATAAAATAACAGCAACAACAACAACAACAACAACAACAACAACAACAACAACAACAACAACAACCGCAACAACAACAACAACAACAGCAGCAGCAACAACAACAACCATAAAAATAATAACAGCAACAATAATAATAACAACAAAAATAACAACAAAAATAACAACAAAAATAACAACAAAAATAACAACAAAAATAACAACAACAACAACAACAACAACAGCAACAACAACAACAACAGCAACAACAAACAATAATAATAATAATAACAATAATAATAAGCAGAAAGAAGGATCGCTGTTGGAAAGCGGATTCACAAGTTCATGTCAGAAAGTTCATACTGAAGCAACAAGTGGATCTGGGATGGCCCTCTTCCTGAAAGTTTGACCCGTTCCTGTATATGCTGAAGCTGGCTCCTCGAACACTCTAGGCTTCCTGTGCAATGCCAAGATAACACAAGAATGACAGCGGCTGGCCAACCGTATTTGCTAGTTTAGCTGCATCCGTACTAACCTGGAACTAGCTTCATCCAACAGCTTACGAAGCTGCTCATGCTGTTGTTGCTGACAGCACGCCGCCGTTGCCACCGCCATCACTGCACCATCGCTTTGCGCCCGACCTGGTATGGAATCGCATCACGAGACTGACACCATTGCTTCGCTGCCCATCATGATTTCATGACAAGAAAACAAACACCTGTCTGACTTGGCTAGAAGTCTGGAAGTTTCTCACGCACCTCAGGAACCTAAACCACACGCATCAAAAAATCAAATGTCAATCGCTCACTGATTTCGTCATTGGCCGTTTGAAAGTGGGAACCTGCCAGCAAGCTCAATACACTAGTAATGTTACCACACTTCAAATACTTCACTCAAGAACATATTCTACCTCACAGAGTTTTGGTCACCTAAAGTCCCAAGTCTCCGATTGCAAGTCAGTCTGAGGAATTTAACATCAGGCTAAACGCCAGTGACAGCCACATTTCGTGTCAAGGCGAAAGCTCCTACATCCCCACTGCAAAAACAATGAGAAAAAGCATCGTCAAGAGCGCCTTGCATTTTATCCAGAAGATGCACAGTAGCTTTCCACCCACCAGCAACAGCAGCTTCTAGGGCTACGCTCTCCACCACCAAAGGCAGCTCAACATTGGTGCCTTTGTAGAGAAAGGTCAGCAGCAAATCTGAGTTTTGTTCCTTTTCAGGTTGAACAATGAGTGAAGACGAAGCATCTTCCTGAATGATCCGATTTATATGCAATGAACCATCCTCAAGAGGTGCACTGTCCGGGTGGCTAAGCCTCCTGAATTGTCCGAGTCATCCGAGGTGTTGTCGCTCAATGAAGTGCTCTGAAGGGGTCAGGTTGCCGATTAAATTCTGCGTCACTTGTGCTTGACTTGTACTTTACCCCCGCTCAACCATGCTGAGCTATGCTCGCTAAGCTCAACTCTCCTCGACTTCCAAAAGCACAACAAAACTGAGAAAAAACAAATAAGTTAAGGCACTGAAACAAGATAGGTTTTTACATGTTTTTACAGTCTACGTCTTTTTCAGTGAAGCGGCACTGCATCACCTGCATGAGCTGCAGGGGCCAGTGCCATTGATGACCTCATAGGCATGCCGCGCGGAAAAATCAAGAACCTCAAGGGGCACATAAGGGGCACAAGGTATTTGAATATCTCGGTGATGTCAAGGCATCATTATTTGTTGCAAGAGGTTGATATTCATTGATATTGCATTCCAATGTCCAAAGACAATCCTAGAAACATTGGGTCGGTGGTGGTGTACTCCGCTCGTCAAGAGCTCATTCGGTGTATATATTTGAAACTGACTCCCATATGTCTTGACAGACCCCTCCCAAAATTCAAAGCTCGATCCAGCAATCTAGCAAGACCAGGCAAGACGCTTTTTTGACAAGCACTGCTTGCTGCACTGTATATAATTCCGTCCACTTGCAAAAAGGAATCTCCACATTCCTGCAGTAAGAAAAGCGCCAATTGCCACCTGAGCTTCTGCCAAGAGGGGCTTTGCTTCAGGTAATCTTCATAGCAGCCTCCCAAAATGCTCTTTGGTCGAACTGTTTGTGTCAAGCAGTCTTGCACGCTGTAGTTGTTTTTGGCGCACAATATCTTTTCAAAGGGGCGAGGGTCACAAACAACTGAAAGTTCTCGGCCATGAATATCATTGTCTGTCAACACCCATGACATGATCACATCCATCCGGAATCCTTTAAATTGGGCCCTTTCCTCAAGTGGATCCATGTCAGTCAAGTCACTGACTGCCAGATTCCGCCGTGCTAACAGCTGCACTCCAGGTGATTGATGTTGGTGCCGGAGAAACTGCCTTGGCAGGTTCGCTCAGTTTCGTGCTGGTGTCGCCCGGTGTCGCTGTGTTTTTGACAATTTACATTGGTCAGTTTCGCCCAAGCTTGTGGCAAGGGTTGCAAGCTGAAGTCCAAACAATTTGGACCAACTGTGCCCGGTTTGTGTGTGTGTGTGTGCGCAAGTACCAGTAGTACCGCACAAGGCGGTGGCGGAAGTTTTAAAAATAGGAAACCTATAGGAAAGGTTGGCCGTTGTGAACCACGGATGGCAGAGCGAATCCACTGATGGACCGACAGGTGGTTAGAGTTGTGTTTGCTGGGGTGGTGGCAATGGTTGCAGGGGTCACCTCACCACAACTGCTGGATGTAGTGCAGTCGTAGTTGTAGTTGTAGTTGTAGTGTAGTGGAGTTGTAGTTGTAATGTAGTGTAATTAGTGTAGCGCAGCTGCAGTTGCAG